GCAATCGAAGCAACCGCACAAGCCTCACAAGGCTGCTGAGGCGAGGAACTTGGCACCATTAGAACTCGTTCATTCTGATTTATGCGAAATGAATGGCGAATTGACTAAAGACGGTAGACGATACTTCATGACATTTATAGATGATTGTACTAGATTTTGCTACGTGTATTTATTAAAAACTAAAGATGAAGCGTTGCATTATTTTAAAGTCTATAAAGCTGAGGTAGAAATCATCTTGAGAAGAAAATCAAGCGTTTGCGGTCCGATCACGGGAGAGAATATTTCTCAAATGAATTTTCTGAGTTTTACGCGGTGCATGAAATTATTCATGAGAGGACGCCACCATACTCACCACAGTCTAATGGGATTGCAGAAAGAAAGAACAACACTCTAACTGATTTGGTAAATGTAATGTTAGAGACTGCAGGACTATCTAAAGAATGGTGGGGTGAGGCTATATTGACAGCATGTCATGTCCTGAATAGAGTGCCCACAAAGAACAAAGAAATTACACCATTCGAGGAATGGGAGAAGAAGAGATTAAATCTCTCTTACCTGCGAACTTGGGGTTGTTTGGCAAAGGTGAATGTGCCAATAAACAAAAAGCGAAAGCTTGACCAAAGACTGTTGATTGTGTCTTTCTTGGTTATGCTATTCACAGCGTGGGTTATAGATTTTTAATCATAAACTCTAGTGTTCCTGAGATGGCTGTTGATACAATCATGGAATCTAGAGACGCTATATTTTTTGAGAATGAGTTTCCCATAAAAAATGCATCTAGCATGACTAGTCATGAATTTATAATTCCCCATGAGCATGAAAATTTTATTCCTATAGAACAAACTGAGGAACCCTATATGCAAAATCCTACGGAAGATAACACTATAGTCACAAGAAAAAGTAAGAGACAGAGGACTACAAAGTCTTTTGGTGATGACTATATTGTGTACCTTGTGGATGACACACCAACGACCATTGAAGAGGCATATTTCTCTCCTAATGCTGACTTATGGAAGGAAGCAGTACGGAGTGAGATGGATTCTGTTATATCTAATAAAACTTGGGAAATTGTTGATCGTCCCTATGGGTGCAAGCCTATAGGGTGCAAATGAGTGTTCAAGAAAAAGCTTAGGCCTGATGGTACTATCGAGAGATATAAGGTAAGGCTTGTGGCCAAGGGTTATACTCAAAAGGAAGGTGAGGATTTCTTTGGTACTTATTCACCGGTTGCCCGATTGACCATAATTCGAGTTTTGCTTTCCCTGGCAGCCTCTTATGGTCTCATCGTTTATCAAATGGACGTTAAGACAGCTTTCCTAAATGGAGAGTTGGAGGAGGAGATCTATATGAATCAGCCAGATGGGTTTGTAGCAAATAGTCAAGAAGGCAAGGTGTGTAAATTATTAAAGTCATTATATGGCCTAAAACAAGCTCCTAAGCAGTGGCATGAGAAGTTCAACAGAACTTTAACATCTGTTGGCTTTGCTGTGAATGAAGCTGACAAATATGTGTACTATCGGTATGGTGGGGGTGAAGGAGTCATTTTGTGCTTATATGTTGATGACATACTGATCTTTGGATCCAGCCTCAAAGTGATCGAGGAGGTGAAGAATTTTTAACTAATAATTTTGAGATGAAAGATTTGGGAGAGGCTGATGTTATTCTTAATATCAAGCTTTTGAGAGAAGATGATGGTGGGGTAACTCTGTTATAATCTCATTATGTGGAAAAGGTGCTGAGTCGCTTTGGGTTTAGTGACTCTGCACCTGCTCCTACACCTTATGACTCTAGTGTGCTATTGAGGAAAAATCGAAGAATAGCAAGGGATCAGTTGAGATATTCCCAGATCATTGGTTCGCTCATGTATCTTGCTAGTACAACAAGGTCTGACATCTCTTTTGCTGTGTGCAAGCTGAGCCGGTTTGTGTCAAACCCGGGAGATGATCACTGGCGCGCTCTTGAGAGGGTATTGCGCTATCTAAAAGGCACCATGAGCTATGGTATTTGTTATACCGGACATCCAAAAGTGTTGGAAGGCTATTGTGATGCCAACTGAATCTCTGATGCTGACGAGCTTTATGCCACAAGTGGATATGTGTTTTCGCTTGGAGGTTGCGCTGTTTCCTGAAAGTCTTGCAAGCAGACTATCTTAACGAAGTCTATAATGAAAGTAGAACTCACAACATTAGACACTGCTGGCTCTGAGGTTGAGTGGCTTCGTGATCTCCTTATGGATTTACCGGTTGTTGAAAAACCCATACCGGCTATCTCTATGAACTGCGATAACCAGACTGTGATTACAAATGTTAACAGTTCTAAGGACAACATGAAGTCCACAAGGCATGTTAAGAGACGATTAAAATCTATCAGAAAATTGAGAAACTCCGGAGTAATAGCGTTGGACTATATTCACATGTCTAACAATCTGGTAGATCAGTTCACTAAGGGTCTGTCACACAATATGATAGAAAGTGCATCGAGAGAGATGGGTTTGAGATCCACTTAAAATTTACTATAGTGGTAACCTGTTCTATGTGATTGGAGATCTTATGAAGTAGAATGGTGAAACAAGCTAGTAGTAAATTGTGAGGAAAGATCCTTAGTAAGACTCATTTCTGATGCATATCTTTCCTATCTGTAAGGCAGGTTGATTTTTACCTTAATGTGTTCTAAGTGGCTTGCTAAAGCAAAGATGTTACCGTACAGAACATCTTTTGAGGAGAACACCTATATGAGTCAGGCTGTTGGTCACAGTCTATGAGATTTGGGTGATTTCTAAATACTCATGAAAGGCACTGGAGTATGACTTATATGCTTGAAATAGAGGGGATGTCTTTTGCAGCCATGTATCAGCTAAGGACTGTAGTGACATTCACCACACACAAAATTGACAATTCAAGGCTAAGTCCATTGTTCAGTTGTGACTGAGTGAAACTATTGCTCTAGATGAATATTCAACTTAACAGTCTCCATCGAAATACTGGTATATAAAAGAAATATGATTCTGAGACTACTTTATTACAAACCCTAGAGTTTGGTGGGGATTGTTGGATATAATATGGGCTTGGCCCATATAATATTTAATAAATCAAATAAAACTATATGGTGCGTAACATTAAGTGTTGTATGGTTTAATACCATACGGGATTTTGACTGAACGTTGACTCAGCTTATATGGTTGGAAATTATTCATCTAAATTGAGAAGCTGAGAAAAGGATAAAGACGTGCCATACGCGCACGCCGCCGCCGCCGGTCGGGCCGAGGCAGGTAGGCAGGCGGGCGGCGAGCGAGCGGGCGGGCGTGGCCAGTCTTTTGCCACTTAATCCACATAATCACGGGAGTTACTCCCTTTGATGGTGGAGGCGAACTAATTGCGTCAGTTACCGTCCTTTCCGCTTCCATTTCTCCGTCTCCTGGGATTCTCCGCTGTCTCTCTCCCTTCCCGTAACAGTCATATATCCGCAGTCCTCCGTCAGTCCAGATCACCGTCTTTCGAAACCCGCTCCCGAGAGAAACCACATCTCAGCAGCCTTCTGGTTTTCCCGTCCCGTACCTCTGCGCGCACGAAGGAACGGGAGAGCAGGTGCCTCCGGAACCCTTGCCCGCTTGAGAACCTTGCATGGAGTGTGCGGCTATTAGGATTTTGGGAAGCGATCCGCAACTGCTCGTCCACGTACGTCTTCTTCCTGGTGGTGATCACTTTTGGATACCATCCTCTTCATGGTGATTGCCTGCGGAACATCAATGCGTCTTCTTCCTGGTGATCCGTTCGTGGGACTACACTGTGAACATCGTCCTGCACCGACTATGGTCCGCGACTTCGAACAATGTACTATGTCGACTAGTGCGAATGGAGCCTCCGATACCCTCGGCATGGGACCCTCCGCTGGATGTAGTCTAATCTTTCTGATTACTGTAATATACGCTTTTACTGTATTTATCTATATATCAACTCTGCATGCTATAGCGTTCGTTAAGAATATACACATGTATATATATATCGTTACGAACCTGCTGATATGATTAAACTAATAATGAAAATACCTACATATCTAACGACCGCAACGCGAACCCGGAGCTGCTGCCGAACCTTGCCGCCGGACACCTACCTCCTCGCCGTCTTACTCCACCGTCGGCTGCACCACCCGCGCAGTCCCTCTGTCAGACCGAGCTCTACTGCTCTGCTTCCCTCGTCGACCTGACGCACCACATCCCGCTGTCCACGACCTCGTCACGTCCCTGACTCCACCGCGTCGAGGACTCGGGCTTGGCAACACCGTTCGTGTGTTCTTTGATTTCTTCTCGTGATAGAATAAAGGAAGAAGAAACAATGGATTTATTGATTTGATTTGAGGAGTTTTTGCTTTATTGAAGTAGTCTGATTTGGATTTCTACCGTATTTGGGGTTTGTATGGTATTTGAGCGAGAGTTGTTGCGTAGTCTGATTTGGATCTCGGAGCGAGAGAGGCAATATTTGTTTTATTTATTATTTTTGTTTATAAAAAAATGGAGACAAAAATTCACGTACACAACCGAACGTGGGTTTTCAATCTGAGGGAGAAAAACAGAAATGACTAAAAAAGAAAAAGGAAAAGAACAATCGAACGGAAACGTATTCCACGCAAAAAAAAAAAAAACAGACAGTTTTATGATGGCAGAGACCGAGATACTTTAGGAATTTTAGGTTGAACGAAAACTATTGATGACAAAATTTTTATCTCTTTATAAGTATTATTAGGGATAGGGATATATTAGTATGAGGGATAGATTATGAATTCAAAAATCTATGGTAGGTTATGTAGAACCGACCGAACCGATCACTGTTTTATTCGAAAATTTTCATATCCAATTTCCGTCCTCTTCCCTTTTCAATCTCGCAGACACGACTGACGACCCCGCTTCCCCAGAAATATTCCCACAGAAACCGCAAAACCCTCTGTCGCGGCTATGGCCGCCTTCGCCTCCGCCTCCCCGCCGCGCCGCCGCCACAGCCACCGGGATGACGTCTCCCCGCGCCGCCGCAAGCACCGATTCCGACCGCGCCGACCGCCGCGGCCGCCGCCGCGACGCCAAGCCCTCTGAGGAGAAGGAGAACGGCCACGCCAAGCCCGGAAGGGATGAGGACGGCGGCAACCGCCCTCCCCGGTGCGACAGGGTGTCAGATGGGGAGGAAGGTGGCGAACGCCGGAGGATGCGCGATAGGGTTTACGACGATGAGAAGGAGGAAGGCCGTCGGCGCAGGCGGGCTAGGGATGCGGATGATGAGCCGGACGACCGCCGTGGCAAGCGAGACCGGGAGAGGGAGAGGGACAGCCGGCGCCACCGCCGCCGGAGCCCTAGCTCGGAGTCAGGGTCCTCACCCGACGGCCGTCGCCACCGCCGCCGGCGCCGAGGCGAGGGCTCGAGGCGGCGGGATGACCGCAGGCGAAGGGAGCACGACGGAGATGAGCGCCGGAGAAGCCCTGTGAAGAGGGAGCCGACCCCGCCACTGCCCCCACCACCGCCGCTGCTTCCGGAGATGATCCCTGGGCGCATGGGTGGGATCTACATCCCGCCTTTCCGCATGGCACAGATGATGCGTGATGTGGAGGACAAGTCGAGCCCTGAGTATCAGCGCCTCACCTGGGATGCTCTCAAGAAGAGCATCAATGGGCTGGTGAATAAGGTGAATGCGACCAATATCAAGAATATAGTGCCGGAGCTCTTCGCAGAGAACCTTGTTCGTGGACGGGGACTCTTTTGTCAGTCTTGCATCAAGTCCCAGATGGCCTCACCTGGGTTCACCGATGTATTTGCTGCGCTAGTTGCGGTTGTGAATACCAAGATCCCTGAGATTGGGTGGTTGCTTCTTGTTCGTGTTGTGCTCCAGCTCAAGAGGGCATATAAGCGAAATGACAAGGTGAGCTTGTCTTCATTTTCCTTAGCTCAAGAAGTATTAATACTTTGTTACCTTTTGGGTTTAAGAATGACTCATTTAGAATTTACAAATGCTGGGGTCTAGTTGCATTCCAAGGTGATTTCATAGAACTAATTTAGCTTAATGTATTGTTGCTTACCTAATCCTGATCAAGATCTTTGCAATTGTTTTAACTCACTCATTTACAAAATGGCTATCCTATTTATATTAGTCTGGAAAACAAAATTGGCTACTTATGTTCGCAGCTGAAGCAGAACTATTGGTGCATACCAATAGGTCTGCTGTTCTGCATTTACAAAGGGTTGTAGTTAGGCTCATGAAATTCTTTGCACAACACTTTACATTGCTTTCCATTTGTATTTGAACGCATGAACTGGATCGATGCAGGTTTGGAAAGTTACATAGGGTATACCTTCTACTTGGATTCTGGATTCAAATCAAATAAAAGAACTAACGAAAGTTGTTGTTTATACCTGGGTCCTGTATACACTGACGTCTGCTGTTTATGTACATAGGATAGGATGAATTGTTACTTACATTCAGGATGCTTAATATTTAAGTATGAAGAACTGCATATGCGCTTAATTGTTAGTTTCTGCATAAATTTCTTACTAAAGTTCTCCTTTACTTGATGCCTCAATTGCTTGCGGCAACCAAATTCATTGCACACTTGGTAAATCAGGTGGTGGCACATGAGCTCGTGGCACTGGAGCTTCTTACTGTACTCCTGGAAAATCCAACTGATGATAGTGTTGAGGTACATAGCTTGGACCTTATGTACTTTTTGACTTTATTTTGTTAACAACTTACTCATTTCTGGATTATGTGCATATGTTTGTCAATGATGATAGGTGGCTGTGGGCTTTGTCAAAGAGTGTGGGGCAATGCTGCAGGACTTGTCTCCTCAAGGGCTTCATGGTAAGCTATTTCAGACAGTGCACTGAGTATGGCTTGCTATACTTGCTAGCTTTTGGTGATGCAGAATGGTTTTGTCAACACACATTTTATACCATCGACATTCATTTATGGATCTTCAAATTGATTGAGTATCTAATGTATAGTCTTGTGGTTAATTCTAAAATACTTGGATACATGATGATTAGGTCAATCATGTGATTATCTGGTTTTTGGCAGAACGTAGAAATCTCGTTTTAACTTTGTATAAGATGCATTATTGTGGACCAATGGTGAACGACTAGATGTTCAGCCTTAGTTTTGGATGCTCTGGAGAAGAAATTTTTTAATGTGTAAGTACAATTATTTAATTTACGCCGTTATATGAATTGAAATGAATATGGCAACATTATCCTCTGAGTAAAATGGAATATTTACTTGTGTACATAGGTTAGCTATGCAACATGATGGTTGCTTTTAAAGGTACAAACTACTGTTAGCCAATATAAGTAAATGGTCAAAATGTTTCTGAATCCTTCTATACATCTTGCTTGTGTAATGCTCCCTTTGGTCCAGTTTATAAGGCACAGTGAGACATGACATGGTCTCCCAAATTACAATTTGGCCATTCATTTATTGTATTTTTTTTGTTATAAAGCTATGATCATTGGCAGTATATTTGATTATATAAATCTAACTGTATCAAGTTTGTATTACAATAGTTAAAAATTATTCGCCAAATTATTGGTCAAAGATTGAGAAGTTTGAATCTTGATATGCACGTGTGCCTTATAAACTGGACCAGAGGGAGTATTCCTTAGAGCTGATACATATAATCTTTCGATTAACTATATACATATTATTTTAGAGTGTGTACAGTCAACTATTTATGTTCTAGCTAATAATTTCTCCAGTAAAAACTGGATGGGACATACAAAAGATGATATAGTGGGCTTGTTTGGGTTGTACTTGAAGATTGTTATTTTTTCTTTATGTTTGTCACTCATTATAAGACGGATTGATGTTTAGTTTTCTGTTCTCTTTTGAATACTGTGTCTGGCGTACCCAGTGCAGAGAGCTCCCGCTCTGTGCGGAGTCTGGGGAAGGGTGTCAGTGGCAAGCCTTACCCTCGTCTGTGCAATGCGAGAAGACCGTGACTCGAACCCGGTACCTTCCGGTCACAGGTAGTAAGATTCTACCGCTTGCACCAGGCCCGCCCTTCTTTTGAATACTGTCTCCAAAAAGATTTATTTTTTATTCGAGGGTGAATGCTATGTTTGGTATTAAATGTGATTATTTTTGTTTATAAATGCTGAAACACTTATTCAACCTTAATTTGACCATTGTGGATTGTAACACCCTAGGTGTTAAGCATGCATTTAACCTTGACATTGCATGAGCACAAGCATCATTGATCATTCATGAGCATGAGCATAAGCATCATTGATTATTCATGAGCATGAGCATATCATGTATTCTATCTATGTTAGCTTATATTGCATGTGTGGTTACTTAATTGCCTTACTTATGTTAGGGTTTACATGTAACCAATGTGTAAAATGATTGTGGAACCTTAGGAGTACCTTAACATGTTTAGAATATCACATGGAACAACTTTGGTATTCATGACTAAGGCTAGTTCGGTCTCTAAGTCCTAATTATAGTGGAGTCATTATTTTAAAGTGGTATGTTTGACCTAGATTGAACTATGTCATAGAATCTTTGCATGGCAAAGCACTCTTAAGCAAAGTTGTAGTATTTGAGTAGAGCAACAACTTTTATTTTTGGGTCATAAGCTAATTCAGTGCCTAGATTGGTTATTTTGTGCTCACAAGAATCAACATTTCACTGTTTTTGTAACTTAGAATTTTGTCTAAGTCCTAACTGGTTTTGCTGTTTGATTTGCGTGACTTTGAGATGTTGTATCTTCCTAACTGTTGAGAATTAGACTTTGATCATGTAATCAATATTGGAGCTGGTATGCAGGGCTACAACTTTTGTTAAGAAAGATTTCGCTAATGAGCCGTGGTTTAGGAGATTAGGGACGTTGATTTGGCGCTGTCAGTCACGAACATCGTGCTCTGTTGACGTCGTCGCGACGCGCCGTCGTGGTCGACCGCAAACAGGGTTTGGCCGCCGCGTGGCCGCCGCTGGCCGACGTCGGGCCCCCACCGTGGTGTGCTGGCGCGCGCTTAAGGAGAGTCCGCGCGGCTCAGCTCATTCACTCCCTTGCGCTCCCTCCATCTCCACTGCCTCCCTTCGCTCGCTTTTGCACCGCAGCAGCAGCGCAGCGCTCGTCGTCGACGCCATTGCCGGCCGCCCGGCTTCGCACCACGCTCGCGTTGTTTCTTCGCCACAGCCGTAGCTCCGTCGTGTTCCCACCACCTCAACGAACCCGCCTTGTAGCTAGCCGCGCACGGTAAGCCTCTTGTGCAGCGCCGCGGCCATCGTCGTCGTCTCGTCGCCGTGCCCCGCCGCCCGTGGTTGGGCCGCCTCCGACCACCGCTTGTTGTGATGGAGTGCGCGCTAGACTCGCCGTAGTACGCAGTAGCTCGGTCGAACCCTAATTTGGGCTATCTCGGCCAGCTCCGGCGGCTCATCGTCGACCCGCGTTCGTCGTGCTGCCATGAGCGCTGCCGTCACCCTTAGCTCTAGTAATCGATCCAACGAGCTACCCTAGTGTGTGTGGAAGGTCTCACGGATCATCGTGGTGCCGATGCCGTCGTCGGAGAGCTCGCCGTCGGTGAACTCCGGCCGGTCAGCGTTGGTACTCTGTTTTGAGCCTATGACACGCGGGCCCGGCTGACTCAGAGGCCCTAGCTGTCAGCGGCTTAGGTCTAGATGCTGGTGCATTTATTTCAGAAATGTATGCCAACTTTGAAAAATCATAAGTGGAGTTGTAGATGTCCAATTCTAGTGAACAAAATTTTGTTGTAATCCTCATGAAGTATGGTATTTTATAAAAATATGAAATGTACCGTTTCTAGTATTTTTATAGGTGAATATAATATATCTAGATAAGTGGTTTTTTAATGTTAGTAATCTTGTAAAATAGATATCTTGAGCTAGAAAAGTCATAAAATTGTGATTCCAATTTTGTTTGTCTTGTGTTGACATGCCCTAGCTAGAAAAAATAATAAACTTGCTGTAAACTTGTTTGGAGTAGGGTCTTTCTAATTATCTATTAATAAATGGTATTTTCCGAGGAAAATTGTAGGGATAAAAATATGCAACATATTGCTATAGAAATTTTTGTACAGTAGTATGGCATTAATATGAAGCTAAGAAAAATATATAATCTGTTGTTTGACACTTTTCTATAGGGTTAACTATTTTTACTAAAATAGACCTTGCTAGCTTGTCATTTTTGTAGAGGATGTTATACATGTTCAAATGGTATAAAATTTTTACAGTAGTCTATTTGGAGCACTTGGAAGCCACTGTAATTTTCTGAAAATTTATTGTGTACATTGGTATATGTTTATTATTTTCCCTAATTATCTAATTAAATTAATAAAAGACATTTAAATAAATAGATTGGGCTTGACCATTATGTTTTCTTAAGTGTATTTAGTATTCTTGAAATGTTGGTATACTTGGTGATGTCAAATTTTGAATGCTTATATGCAGTAAAAATATTGTTGCCCTATAATTCGATTTCCGGATGTCTTTCCTGATGAATTGCCGAGGTTACCACCAGATAGAGAGATAGAGTTCAAGATAGAATTGTTACCGGGTACCGCACCTATTTCCCGAAGACCGTATAGAATGCCACCCAATGAGTTAGCAGAATTGAAGATTCAATTACATGATCTTTTAGAGAAGGGTCTCATTCGTCCCAGTTCGTCACTATGGGGTTGTCCAGCCATATTTGTGAAGGACAAGTCTTTGCGGATGTGTGTGGACTATTGACCACTTAATGCTGTTACTATCAAGAACAAATATCCTTTGCCTCGCATTGATATTTTGTTTGATCGATTGATAAAAGCAAAAGTGTTCTCTAAGATTGATTTGAGGTCAGGTTATCACCAAATCAAGATTAAGCCGGAAGACGTACCTAAGACGGCTTTTTCCACTAGGTATGACCTTTACGAGTATTTAGTCATGTCCTTTGGATTGACCAATGCTCCTGCCTATTTTATGTATTTGATGAACTCGGTATTCATGCTCGAACTTGACAAGTTCGTGATTGTGTTCATCGATGATATCTTGATTTATTCTGAGACGGCAGAAGAACATGAGGAGCGCTTGAGAGTGGTATTATCGAGACTAAGAGAGCATAAGTTGTATGCAAAGTTTAGTAAATGTGAGTTTTGGTTGAAGAAGGTACCTTTCCTAGGTCACATATTATCGGAGGATGGAATTTCTGTAGACCCATCCAAAGTGCAAGAAGTGATGGATTGGAAAGCTCCCACCTCAGTTCATGAAGTTCGAAGTTTTCTTGGTTTAGCTGGATACCATCGTCGGTTTATCCCAGATTTCTCTAAGATATCCAAGCCTATAACAAAGTTACTTCAGAAGGATGAAAAGTTTATATGGACATCGGAGTGTGAAGCAGCTTTTCACACTTTACGGACTTTGCTAACTACTGCTCCTGTGTTAGTACAGCCTGACATTGAGAAACCGTTTGATGTATTTTGTGATGCCTCAGGTACCGGTTTAGGGTGTATTTTAATGCAGGAAGGCCGAGTCATTGCTTATGTCTCGTGCCAATTGTGAAAGCATAAAGTCAACTATCCAATGAATGATTCAGAGCTTGCAGCAGTTGTCCATGCTCTAAAAATTTGAAGACATTACCTGCTTGGTAATGTTTGTCATATCTACACTGATCACAAGAGCTTTAAGTACATTTTCACTCAACCTGAGCTAAACATGAGGCAGCGCAGATGGTTAGAATTGATCAAGGATTACAACCTAGAAGTGTATTATCATCTGGGAAAGGCCATTGTGGTTGCCGATGCCTTAAGTCAGAAGTATCATGGTAATTCTTTGCTGGAAGATGGTTTCAACTTATTGCATTCCCG